TATCTTTCTGGGAATTTAAATGTTTTTCTTCTTTTATTTTCTTTGTCTATTATTTTTTCTATGTTAGATACTTACACTTTTCTTACTTTTAAACTTGCATATCAAAATAGTGTAATTTGTTTTCTCTATAATGCTGGTGATATCATTGCATGTTTTCAATTTCCTCATCTGAACTTTTCAAAGTTGGTGCGTACAGTTTACATAAGTTGATTACTATTCAAGCTACTCTGATATTCTGTTGATAATTTCTATATTGCCTGCATTGTTGCTATTAACTAAATTTCTTATGTTATGAAACATTCCCATCTCTCTTATAAAGTAAATGTTTATTTACTTTCAGTTGTAAAAGATTATCTCTTTTTGTGTGAGTCTTGTTAAAACCTACCATGAATCAGGTGATATTTTTCAGTTGCATCATTTGTTGGTCCTGTTTGTATTTTCTGTGTATGTGTAAATATTATGTGTATCTATCTTCATATAATTTTATTTTGTTTAATGTCCCTGTCTTTTCAGCTCTTACTTAAAGACAATATCTGTTACATCACAAATACTTTTCACAGGCACATGAAGCAATGCCGTTGAACCTTTTATAAGACAATGATCCAAAAGGAACATTATGGTTAGTTTTGTTGTCATTTTGGATTTTAAGAAGATAGTAACTGTTGTGAATTATAATATTTATTATAATGTTTTATTTATTGATATTTATGTATTTATATATTTAGGAAAAAACCTAATTATTTTGGATGGATTTATTAAAATGGGGTGGTGGCAGTCCACCCCTGGTTGGTTTCTATCTCATCATACTTGAACTAATCAGGTGTTCTAGCAAGTAGTCACTATGGATGGATGTACTGCAGAAATTAAAATACACAAAGGTAGCTAATAGAGTTTGCCTGTTACCACTAATTTCTTATTAGTTTCATGGATTGATTACCAATTAGGTCAATCATGGTTAGTAGCAATGAAAGCCACTTGTCTTGTTGAATGAAGTGCCCTTGTGTTGCATGTATTCTCTGCCAAAATTAAAATTCTGACCTGTGTCTGAAGCTTTTTAACAAAGAAATGTGCAGAGTATGCAAATTATTTATCTGACTAGTAGGTGTTTCGGATGCCTATATAAACCACTAACAGTTGAGTGCTGGAGAAAGCCACTCTGAAACTATTTGCAACAGTCTGGAGAAAGGTCTGGTAGTTATGTTTTGAAGTAAGACCACAGTAGGAGTAGTAGTAATCTCAGAAATGAGTGTTTTTCTTGGCCCTTAGCAGGGTGGAAATATCAGTAGTGAGTGACCTCTTAACTGCTTCTTTACATGTTACGCATGGCTGGTTTCTACACAGTAACGTTCTTTTGTTCTGTCCTCTGCTTGTCCATTTTGATTTTAGCTGAGTGGTGTCAGGTTTATATCCTTTTGATCAGGCTCAAGAATTTGGCATGAACATTGGTTTCAGCTTACATCAAAAGTCTCTTTGTGTCAATTTTTTTGAGTGGCCAGAATTATTTTATTTTCCAGTGTTTCTTCCTTTTCAGCCACCACGATTTTTGGTATTTTTCATTCCCAAATAAGTAGGCATTGCTCCTGCAAATGTTTTTTGTCTGGGTTCCATCTTTTATTTTTCTTCCTCTTTTTATTTTAGGGCTGTCTTCTTGTTAGTTAAGATAAAAGTACAGTGAGAGAATTTTAAAGAGAAAGAGAGAGGGCTTTAAAGAAAAGTGCAAATTCCTTATTTTAATTTAGTCTTTTGCTTATATATTTTATTTTTTTGGGGTCTCACTACAAGACAATTAGAAGTTTTAAAGTCTTGCATTATAATAGTTTGCTATGGTTTTTGTGCAAAGAGTCAGAGGCATCTTTCTCTCTTTTTTTGTACCTTTTTTGACATGAATTGCAGGAAACTCTTCCAATCAAGATAAAAAACTATCTGATCAAAACCCAACAAACAAACAATTTTTTGATAGCCAACTGTCCTCCTTTATGGCAGTGAATGTTGGACGATCTCCTCAAAGATGAAGAGGAGACTTGCGGCAATAGAGGTGTGGTTCTACAGAAGTATGCCAAGGATGCCATGGACTGAACATGTAAGCAATGATGAGGTTTTGGAGAGAATGCAAATAAAAAGAAAACTCATGTTTAACATCAGGAAGAGGCAGCTGAAATTTCTGGGACACATAATGAGGAAGGTGGGCTTGGAAAATCTGATACTCACAGGGTGGGTAGAGGGAAAGAGAAACAATAGAAAGCAATGTGTGACATACTTAATGAGCTTAAACAAGTGAATAGCAAAACAGGGTCTGGGAGAAATAACAAAAAGTCAAATCTTATTAAGAGCTACAAGGGACAGGAGGTAATGGAGAGCCATGATTGCCTACGTCATGAAGAGACATGGCACATAAAAGAATAATAATAATAATAAGATTGTCACACCATAATAATAAAAGTATAAATTTCAGAAAATGCAAGTAGCAGAGAAAATGCAACACTTTGTGCATATGGACTATATCAGGGGTCGGCAACCTTTTGAAGAGACAGGCCAAAAAATGCTATGCATTGTCTTGGAGGAGGGCCATGATATCAAATGTATTATAACAAATTGTCTCAATCTTAGACTGCTCTGTCCAGAATTTTAAAGAAAAAACTGAAGTTAATGCTTTATTATTTAATCAAGCTTCCTTATTTTACTACAGGATAACAATGCAATCAACAAAAAATGCAAATTCACTACAAACAAAATACAGTTAGAAATGGCAAATTATTTAATGAGATACTTGTTTTTACTTATTGTCTGATAACTTCTTCACATAAGGTGAAATATTTGTCAATGAGAGAAGCAAAACATCATTCAGGTGCCCATCAACCAATCTTGTTCTTAAACGACTTTTAGTATATTTCATTTTGGAAAAAAGTTGTTCACAAACATATGTACTTTCAAATAATGATGACATCATTTTCACATTATTTAATAGGCTTTTCTATTTTCCTCTTGTCAAAATATATTTCTTGTAGAAGTCAGCAGTGGATTTGGAATGAAATTTTGAATTAAAAAATTTGTCGCATTGTAAGTCCATTAACTCCAAATGATATTTTTTCTGCAACTTGCTCCACAAACTAATTATATAATTAGTATCCAGATATTAAGCTGGTGGGCTGGACAAAAATTCTTTGCGCACCAGATGTGGCCCAGGGGCTGGGGGTTGCTGACCCCTGAACTGTATGATTCGAGCCAAAAGTGGTCAAAATCCTATCAGACTGTGCATTGATTGTATGAAATCTCTAACCAAACTCTCAACTTCTTTTGCCTTCAATGCATGAAAGAAATGTAAAAAAAACTCCCCCAAACAAGACAGCAAATTCTCCAATGAAAAAAATAAGGAATAAACATATATCCAAACAAGTTTTATTAAATTCAACCAACAATGTCTGTCAGTTTAATTTTTTTATTGTATTTTTCCAATTTTCGAATTGTGGATAAACTGTCTGAAGTTCATGTTTGTTTTGTTGTTCTTTTTCAAATACTTTTGGCCATACCAGTCAAGAATGATATGCTGCTAGTGTGGTAGGAAAGATTATCTTAGATACATCCTGATATTTTCAAGCGAGCTGAAGGTTTGAAACAGTCCATGGTGACATCATGTGTAATGGTTAAAGAAAGTGAAACCACACCAAAAAGAATGCATCAAGCATGTGATTTTTTTAAATACTTTTCTTATTTCTTTTAATTTTATTTTTTTAATGCACATATTAAATATCTTATATACTGTTCCTGTGGTGAAAGATATTTTATTTAATGTGGGCTGTTTATTTTGTATAATAATAGATTTTGAGTCTTTCTTTGCATTTGGTGCTGTATTTTGGTATTATCCACTAATATTTATCTTATGTTGGAAGTTGTATTTTGATTGTGATGTGCTATGATCAGTATCTGTACAAATTCTACTAAGTTTTGAAAAGTCAACCTACACAAGAGTGTGGTGTTTGTGTAGCTGACATAAGAATTTAAAGTTGTTTTTTTATTGTTGATATTGGAAATGTAATCTCATATATATAATGTGTGTATGTGTTCCAAGGGAATCTTAATAATTGGGGAGTGACAATTTTTCTTGGTAGGCAATGAATGGGGAGTTTTTAATAAGTGAGGGGTTGAAAATCATTTAAAGGGTCTAAAAATTCAAAATTAATAAATGAGGTGGTCTTCATAAGCTCTGTGTGGTTGGAAAACTTACTCAGAAAAACAAATGTCCCATCATTTCTGTTAGCACCTAAGTGTGTGTGTGTGTGTGTGCGTGTCTGTCTGTAAGTCCTGACTTAACACCCTGTGACTTTTTTTTTTAATTAAAGGAGCAATCTATTATACCAAACTAAGACTTTGAAAGAATTTGAAGGGTGAATACATGAAGTTATGTCTTCCATACCACAAGAGTTACTGATGAAATCAGTTGATGTGATTCCTGGGCAGTTTAAAAAGCTGGTTGTGAAATTCGATGCCTATATCGAATTTTAAATAAAACATCATGCTAAACACTTTCCTCTCGTATCCTTTTCTTGTAAAAATTGTAGTTAATAAATAAATAAAAATTTTAAAATGGGAAGATACTTTTCAATCACCTATATATATATATATATATATATAAATAAAATACCTTAAATATATTTAAAGAAAAATCTTTTAATTTAAATTTAAAATTTTCAGCATCCCCTCCCTTTGTGTATGATGTAATCACATTAAATTAAAAATGACTTTAGTCCATTGAAGTCTTAAAGGATGAAATGTGTTAACACAAAAAGTTTTCCCACTTTGTCATAGTTCCCAACCCACAAAAATTATTCTTGATATATAAAATTATATATAGTTTTTATATATATATATATATATATATATATATATATATATATGCGCACACACACACATACATACATGCATGTATTTTTCTATTACTGTGTGTGTGTATTTTATTTGTTTTACTGAAGGATGCAAATAAACAGCTTGTTTTCTCTTTTCAGAAATGTTACACAAAATAGAGTCACGTCTTCTCATGGAAGCTCTCCCAGTCAACTTGAATATCGATTCAGCTCCTTTTCGACAAAGTTTAGTGTCTTCTTTAAAAAAATTGCTCACACGTATCCGGGACAGCTGTCTGTCTTCCATAAAAAACCAAAACCCGGACACAATTGGTAAGACTTTATAAATTTTCTCCCCTTTGTTTTTTCAAAGCCAATCTATTCTTCAGGTTTTATGTGATATTTTTCCAAGTGTAAAATCTGTTGTTAGTCCTGTTCTGTCCATGATTTTCTTCTATGCTTTCTGCCCTTTTAGCATGATGCTTTTTGATAAATCATTCTATTCCCTGTATGTAATATTTCTGTCAACTTTGCAGTTAGTTTTGTTTCCTTCCTTCTTTTCTATTCTCTTCTCTTTCTATTTTTAGTGCTTTTCCTTCCTCACCTCCTTTTTTATCTTTCCTCCCCTCTATTTCTTTTTTTCCTTTCTTCTCCTCTTTTCTTTCCTCTCCTCTTTTCTTTCCTCTCCTCTTTTCTTTCCTCTCCTCTTTTCTTTCCGCTCTTTTCCTTTTCTTTTTTTCTTCCTTTTTTCTCTTTTCTTTTCTTCCATTCGGTTTTTTTTCCCCCCTCATTTTCTACTTCTTGTAATTACTGCTATTTTCATGGCTTATCTTTTTCTTTCATTTCTTTTATCTGATGACTTCGTGCACTTTGCTATAAATTTCCCCAGAAGAGTTGTTTTTTCTATCATCTCCACCCTGTCTGTGAAAAGCATTACATATAGATGGGTTAAGTTTTAGAAATATATCACCTTGTTGCTGATATTGGATTTATTTTATTTTTGTTAATTACTGGATCCTATATGATATTAATTTAAAAATTCTTGTTCTTTTCTTTGTGAGCATTACTTTGAATTTGTTCCAAGTCCAACTAAGTTGCCTCCCTTATATTTTAGGCTGCATGTTAAATTTTGTCAATGTTATACCCGAAACAAAGTAATTTTGATTAACACATTTGTAATTAATTGATGGTCAAAAGAAAAAGTCTGATGGATTTTATTAATATTTCAGTGTTTGTTCACATAATTTTCTGCTCACTATGATTGGTAGTTTTTCTTTATTTTTATCTTTTGTGCATAAACTTTCATATATTGTAAACCAATTATGTTGAACAAAGAGCAACGTTGGCCAATTTTTTTTTAATGCCATGTCCATTCAGGATGTAAGTGATCATGCCTCTCTACAAATTCCTTTTCTGTATTATCTATAACTTGCCATGACTTCTTAGAAAATATAATGGTGTAGTTTCCTGGCTACTACCCAAGTTTACCTTGTTATTTAACCCGAAGCTGGCAGAGAAAAGATGGGTTCATGCCTTTCTTAAGGTCAGTAGTGAGAAAGTGAAGGCAACGAACCTGAAATTTGAACTCAACTCACTGATTACATACTACTACGTACCATAATGTGCTACATAACATACAAAGGACTCGGTATGATTTTTTGATGTACACTTTATCCTTTTTTTATAAATGTAATTTTAGCTGCTTCTACAGTGTGTGGCATAAATACTGTTACAAAAGAAAAAGCTCATAACTCCAGAAAAAATTATTATATCAACATACAATTTTAACATAAAATAAGTAATAATCTGGTAAATAACATCAGAAAATCTCATTCAATATGGTTCCCTTTAGCCTTTACCACACATCGAAATCTTTCAGGAATGATTTCAGCGCACTCAGTTTCCATGGATATTTTGTCCCATACTCTCTTCAGTTTTGCCTTCAGAGCTTTAATATTGTGGTGTGGAGTAGAACAGGCCTCACTCTCAAGAACTGTCCACAAACAATAGTCAAGAGTGTTGATATCTGTTAATGTCATTTTCCCTTAGTGATGTGGTCAGGACGATTGTCTCTGCACCACTGCTGTGTTACAGGAGTAGTATGGTTCATCACTCTGTCTTGTTGAAGTGTCCAGTGCTCATCACCATCAGTATCATTGCACCACAGCTTGAGTGTACCTTCCTAGACAGACTCTATGTACACTTCCTTGATCTTTATCCCTTGAGGCATGGAAAAAAGGGGAGACTTTCCTCTTTCTAAAGTAGCTGACCAAAAGCATAATTGATGTCGGTTTCTTGGTCCTGATGCATTTTCCTGAAGTGGTAGGAACTGACTGATGACTTATTGGAAGAACATGATCATTTTGATGATTAAAAATCTGTTCAACACTGAACAATTTCTCATCAGTGAAGATGATGTTTTGCAGCATGCCATCACAAATCCTTTTCACAAACTGCTTTCTCCTTTGAAGTCTCTTTTTCATTGTGATTGCTGAAAGAAGCTGTCTCTTGGGTATCTTGTAGAGCAGGGGTCGGCAACTCATTCGACCCCATGGGCTGGATCGTGTTATAATGATGGGTCGCAGGCCGGACGAACGCCATTAATGAAAAATTAAGGAAAATTACATATGCAGACCCCTGTCAACCTAAATATTTAAAACCATAATGAAAATAAAGATTGAGAAATCAGAAAAACAAAAGAAAATCTAAAATTAAAAAAACCTTTCAAATGATCCACTCTGTGGTCTTCTTGAGGTATAGAACCTACATGGAAAGAGAGTGGGTTTCTTCTTCTTAGTGCCAACCAACAAACTGTAGCAAAAGAATCAGTGCCAAATATACTGATTGGACCAACCCATTCACAACAACACATATAGTGCAAGCAATTTCATATTGATCATGCTGAAGAAGAGTCATCTTAGACAATGTTATATTGAAAGCAGCAAAAACAATAAATTCAGTATTCTTGAATAACTCTTGGAATTAAACAAGTTTGTTAAAGGTTGAAGCTAAACATAGACTATAGCCAGATTGTTTATCCATCTCCCTGTCTTCTATACTCACCAAAGTGAGTAAATATTTTAAGACTAAAGATCAAAGCAAATATAATTATGATAAGAAAAGAAGTAATTAACACACTCTCAACAAGATTTGAACCTCTTTTTCATGAGCAAAAAATGTGTGAAATGTCATAAAAATAGGATGAACTTTTGAATTATTCCATATATTTTGGAGACTTGTTGTTTATACTACATTTCAGTTAATACATTGGCTTTATTCAGATGTATGCTGTTTCCAGAAAGAAAGAAAGAAAGAAAGGAGTGCTGAACTTCTATGTAATATCAATCTTCCAATATAGCTGTGAATGTAGGACAGTTTTCTTCCTGAAGAGATTTGAGTCAACAGAGATGTGGTTCTACAGATGGATGTTGAAAATATTATAGACAGAACATGTGAGCAATGAGGAAATTTTAAGGGAAATAGAAAAAAAAAAGGACAATTGTACTTAGGATCAGAAAGAGAGGTGAAATTTCTGTAGTACAAACTGGGGCTTTAATAATCACAGAACATATTGAAGTCAAGAGTGTGTAGGGGAACAATGAGTAACTGACCTAATGAGCTTGTGTAAATGGATAACAGAACAAGGAATAGGAAAGATTATAAGGGGACAACAATTGCTTAAAGCTATGAAGAATAGAAAGTTGTGGAGAGCCATATTTTTTCATTTTTCTTTGCTTCATCCTCAAATGGTCACATATGACAAACAACAAAGAAAGGCTAAATCATCTATTGACCAAAACCTTATCTTAAAAACAGCAAAGATGATGAAAACGAATTTGAAAAGTAAAAAGAATAAAAATTATTTTATTTCACCATTTTAGAATATGCTCATACTTCAGTATTACGGACCTCCCTTTAACAGATATCAGTAACAATGGGCAAAATCTGGTGCAGCCGACTCAGTATGTAAGTCCCACATACTATGGATGGAGTTGTGGTAACATGGGATACTGCTTCACAAGCTGACCACTAGTTGGCAGGGCGTCACTTTGTTTACATCAGTCTAACCACACATGTGGCTTATTGCTCTATGGATTTTCCTTTTTTTTTTTCTTTTTTTTTTATACGCCAGTGTGTTTAAGTGGTTTTATATTCATCAATTTCTATAAACATGTCATGGAGGAAGAATAGAAAAGCATGAATTACACAAAATCTTGAATTTATCAGACTTAGTGTTGGTAACTATGGACAATCGGTATTATTGGACCTATGTATCCACCCTTTTATCCATTAAAACGTGGTATAAATGTATTTTAAATCTAAAATTGATTATTTTTTTTTGTATGTATCAAGGGAAGAAACTCTTTTCATTCTGTTTCCTCTCTTTGTCTTAGTAATTATTTGATGAAATTTCTTTCAGTTATAAATGTTTTGTGAAAAACGAATGTTATCATTTTTTAAAATTTTTTTATTTTCCAGATCTTTCCATTAATTTTGTTGACTGGCTCCATCAATTGTGCATTGAAAACTTAGTTCCAGGATCCAATTTCCAGAGGCGTAAAATGTGTTTGGATGTTCTTAGCACTTTGTATGAAATGTTTACTCCTGTAGAACCTGCTATAAAAAAACGAAGCTCTTTAGGTATGTCATTATTTACTCTTCTTAAATAACATCTATAAAAAATATATTATTAATAATAATAATAATACTTGCCTGTATCTACCTGTGTATTTATGGTTTGTGTAATGTTCAGGTATTTTTAACTATTCTAAAAAGGTCCAAGAGACCTAACAGTTCACACAAAGGAGAATGACTGGCTGAGACAGTTCCTTTTGTTCTCTTGGAAAAGACATGAATCCATTTCTCCTTTCCCTGCTAGCTATTGCAAAATGTTAGAGTGGTTGGAGCTCTCTAAGGCAGTTCATCTTGGGTGTTAGCTTAGCACCCCAGCCCCTTAAAAATTCACTTGTTACTGAAATCATAGCACAACTTACAGCTTTAGTCATTTGCAATAAACAAAACAAGTGTCCTAAAATGTGATGAAAGAGAAAGTCACTTACCAAGAAAAAGGGCATGTGTGTTCTGTACGATATGCCGAAGACAAAATAACCAAAATAGAAACAAGTCAGTTGCAGGTGTTGCCATAAATGCATCTCAGATATGCTAATATTGTTTGTCCTCTCCAACTTTCAACCAATGGCAAAATTGTTTCATCAATAAAAGTGGTTGGAATTCATGAATTGGAGTCTGTCAGCTTTGGAGTGACTGTTGTATTGTGCATTGAATTTCTGACTATTTGTGTGTATTGGGATTTTTGACATTGGACCTGCGATTTGTGATTTCTGCCCCTGGATCTTTGAGTTTGGACTTGTGATTTGTTTATTTTGTTTTGGAATTGAGCAGCCATATCAATTTTTGAACATATATTAAATCTATTCTTTCAGGTTATCCATTATCTATATATTTATTAAGACTTGAATACTTTCAACAGCAGCAACAACTAAAATGGATAGCACAAATAATGTGAAGAGAAAATAATGACATAATCAAGTCACTGATATTCTACACTATTTAAATAAAAAGGTTAAGACTAGAAATGTATTTTCCTGAAAAATTGTTTTATAAATTTCAATCTATGGTAGTACTGGCTGCTCAGTCAATGAATGCTGAATGTTTCCTTATAAAGAAGTAGCTAATGTTACTATTACTATTAAGTATTGTTGAACCTGGTCAGTACTAGATGGATGTCCGCTTAGTAAATCACTGGTTACTTTAAGTTAATAGGGGAGTAACCTCTGATAAAAATCTCACTTTTGGAATGTGGGCAGGTGGTAAAAGATGATGGTATGCACAATGACACACTGTTGTTTGGGATTACATCTGCTTGCCAAAAGTATGTCTCTGTCAATGGCAAGAACATACCATGTTTGAAAATAAGACACTGTAACCTTTAGTTGAAGTTAGGAATACTAATTGTACCAAGTAACTTGAAAGACAACTGAAAGACATTATGATTACTGAATCTAACCATTCAACATAATGCTTATTCAAGGCTAATTTGAAGGAGAGAAATATGTAATGTGTGTTCTTAGTACGTTTTAATAAGAACCAGAAAATGTGATATTTATACTGTATGTGGCTTTGTTTAAAGGGTTATTGATCACCTGTTAAAAAAAAATCAATATTAAGCTGTTTGGCCAAATTATATTTGAATGTTTAACAGTTTATATTGTGTGTGTGTGTGTGTGTGTGTGTGTATTGAGGCAGTAATTCTTCATTAATTAGTTAAATACCAATGAAAGTTACTTATTAATTATTTTTTAATTTATGTTTTCAATGTTCAGGATTATTTTCTTGGTTTCAGGTTCATATATGAAAATATATTTTCCCGTATCAGTTCTTTTGGCTATCATTAAACATTATAAAAAATAATTATTAATAAAATAATAAATAGAGGAAGCAAACTGTCATGTGGACATGAAATTTTCGTATTGAAAATGAAACTGATAACATAGTGCTGATGAAGACATCTTAATACTAGAAAAGGCAAATATCTAAGGAACCTTTCAGTGAACCCTTCATCAGGTATCAATCAATGGTTAAAACAATTACTTTTTATAAACAAGAACTGTGAAAAGCACTTTTAGAGTACTAATAAGAGAATAAATGGGCACATGATTAAAATATAAAATCATTTTGAATCAAATTTTAAAATCAATTTAATTTGTAAAATTAAAAATAAATAAAATTGATCATAAACCTGAAGAAGCACCAGAAATGGAAGAATGAAAGAAAGAAGTGGTTTTTGTTGTTCTTACAAAGAAAATAATTGTTTTTGCCAACAATTTATCTCTGATGAAGGGTTGGCTGAAAAGTTCCTTCAATATTTGCCTTTTTTAGTATTAAGATGCTTTAATAATATATATATGTTTGTGTGTGTAGTATATATAAAGAAAATATAGTTTTAAGGTATGCTATATTCATGGCTTAAAGTGGTCATTATCAAGGATAGTTTATGTAAATATAAAAATGGATACTGTGGTCAACACCTTGCTGTGACAGTCTGTTTCATGCACCAATGCAATTTTTTGGCCTGATGATTGCATTTAAACATGAAACAGACTATTGCCACTGGGTGTTGACCTCAACTTTCACCCCCCCATATATATAACATTTGCTTGCACAATTGAGCTCATTCTTTGGGGTTTTGATGTTAATACCAGAAGCTTAGTCTCTTTGATAGCCACTTTTAGTTGTAAAATTTGTGAGGAACAAGAAGTGTCTCTTTTTTATTAAACAAGGTGATAAATAGAAAATGATAGCCCATTCCAGAACTACACAATACAAATAGAATATTGTTAACTGTTATTCATGCAACTTGGATAATTGCAATTTACAAACCCACTGAGTAATGAAAACCACACTATATTTTAATATATACTAGTCAGATTTACATAGTGAGGTTGTAGTGACTGCTATGTTTTTCCACACCCACATTTTATTTGTCTGCGATTGGCTAATAAATCAATACTGCCTTTCTATAGGACAATTTAGCCATCGCAGTCATTGCTTTGAGTTTTTCAGTTTTGAACATGTTTACTTGTTTTGTTGGTACAAATTTAGCAATTGGTCAAATTTCAACCAATCATATTTTTAGTGCAAAATCAACTTTTCCCACAGTTTCACTGGGAGCCTATCTGTAGTTTTAAAAGAGGCGAATTTTTCACAAGCCGCCAGTAGAGTCCACTAAATTTCGCCTGTCAGCACAAACCTATGATTTTACTCACAACATTTCAAATGCACACACAGACACAGAATTTTGTAATACATTTATACATATCTCTGTGACTCAGCCAAGTTCAATCAACCAGGACTCTGTTGATTTCTCTAACACAACACACTTTCTGATCAATTGTATTCTTGTGTTATCTATTCTAACAGCAGACTTGTTCTAACATTGATTCCTGAACATTTCTCTCTAAAGAGAACTTTCTTTCGAACAATCAATTACAAATCAAAATACGGTAAAAGGGAAACAACTTCTTTTCCCTTAATCTATACATTGAATACAAATTATTGTATATTTTGTTCTTGGATCTTATTTCAATATATACTTGTTAATTCACATTTGGAGTTTCATTGTTTTCTTGAATCATTAATAATACAAAAGATATATGCACAAATGAACACGTGCCCATGACAAGGTAATAATCAGCCACTTTCAATTTACTCATTCTTCAACAGTGTCTCCTGTCATCTATCTGGTTCTTAATCTAGATGAGGGAATGTGTATCATTCTCTTCTGGTATGGTTTGTCATATCAAATTTTTCTACATCCTCTTTAAATATGGCTTTCTTATGTTCTTCAAATCTGACAGTGTTGGTTTGGTTTGTTTTGTTTTTGTTTTACGGCATATCAACCTCAATGGGTTATTTGATGCTGACAAAATTTTATTGTTGGTAATATTTTTTTCAAAAATCTATTTCTGGTAATAATTTTCTTACAAAAAACTATTTCTGGTAATATTTTTTCCTTCAAAAAAATCTGTTTTTGGTAATATTGTTTTCTACAACAAATCTATTTCTGGTAAAATATTTTCTTCTTCAAAAAACTATTTCTGGTAATAATTTTCTTTCAAATATGTATTTCTGGTAATATTTTTTTTTTTCCAAAAATGTATAGCTGGTAATGTTTGTTTTCTTTTTTTATTCAAATATGTATTGCTGGTAATATTTGTTTTTCAAAAATGTATTGCTGGCAATAATTTTTTTTACAAAGTATTTCTGGTATTAAAACCTTTTTTAACACTTTCATAGTGTTTTGATCCCAGTTTGGGGGTTAACTATTTGCCCATAGCTGTGACCCTAACAGGTGCTACCATCCCAGGTCAGGGTGGACCTGGGAACACAATCATTTAAGAGATGGTCCCATGCTCTTCAAAACCTCCTGATCAGAGGCCTTGCTGTTGGGCGTAGTTTATTGTCTTACCCAGGATGGCTGACTGTGTTGGATTATCCTATAAGCAAAAGTAACAAATGCTACATGTCCTGTGTATCTATTTTAGTCACAAAGTCACTTTTACTGATGTTTTCTTATCTTATATCCAGTTGCACTGAGGGTACTTTGACATTTTATTTAGGTAATGGTTAGCAAGCTTGTACCACTAGATCAATTACAACTGAGTAATGAGTTTGATCCTCACTGAGTGCTCCATACTTGTGCCACATCTAAGCTATGCTTAGTAAATTACTATATCTAGTTGCACTGCTTGTACAGATTTCAGTGACTTGCTGTTGCCATTTAATACTATTGTTCAGCATATTTGGCAAGTCAAAGGGATTGCAGTTTATGTCATCACAAATCTGCTTGGTATAAGTCTTGAATTGTCATGCCAGATCTTTCTTGTGTAGGCTCCCACAAAAGAACTTCACTAACAGTTTTGTCTTCAGCTCTCCAGTGAATCTATGCTCTTTCATGATGTCTGATACTAGATGAAGGTTTCCACACAATGTTTTATTATAAGTTGATATTACGGTCTTTCAACACTGTAGAATGAGACAAGAAAATGAACACATTGCTACATGCAAAGACACAGATCACTATATTGTTTGTTTGATTTTTAAACGTTTATCAACCTTTT